TGCTCTAGGGAGTTACCTTGATGGTGTGCGCTTTGGGGGATACGAGGACTATCCGGAATACCTAGTTTGCCGGAGCATCATTCAACTCACCATTCCATACCATTTCCACCGTAAAGCACTGAGACCCAGTAAAATACGGTACTAAGACTAGTGTATTCCCGCTGTAAACCTAAGCCGGAACCTCCTGAAAGGCCCCAATCTCAGGACTCTCAAAGCCTCCTTCCCATCTATTGCACCATAGTCTCCGCCTTGCACTGGGGATCATTTCCGCTTATTGAAACAGCTCCAACCGGACATCGCTGGATTAACCAGGGCAGGTAAGGAGATATATACGGGGTCATTTTTTAATTTCGCCAATGCCATGAGTTCATATACATGGACGTGTGAGGGGGTTTCATTCAGGTCGGTACGCGCGGTGCCAGATGTGAAAATGAGAAATCAACTTAGAGAACGCGTAGCTCAGAAGAAAAAACAAAACTCCATGTCATGTTACCCATCAACTCTCTTAAGATTCACCATCATATGCTTCTGCAGGAAAAACCCATATTCACGGGATTTCCAGGGTTGCATAGGGTTTGATAGGCCGATGTCAAAGGTTAAGAATAGCTGTTATCAGAACATTAGCTAAGGTGCCGCATGGACAGGAGGGATGAAGGACAAACCTCCGTAATGCTCTTATAGAGCTCCATGTGAGCAATCGGCCTCCCAAGACAATAATGCGGTCCAGCGCCGAATACAAAGTCTAAAGCCTTCTCCATCTTCGCCAACCGCTTCTCATCCTTTTCCTCTAACCACCTCTCAGGCCGGAACAAGTCACCGTCCTCACCGAACACCTCATCACGGCCCACCGGCCAAGGATGGATACACACAATGGTGTTCTCTGGGATGAAGTACCCACTTAGTATCGCCCCGCCTGCTGGTACAACTCGCTCCATCGCACCGGCGCCAGGAGGGAAGAGACGGAGTGTCTCTTTGATGCAGGCGGAGAGGTAGGGCAGAGATCTTGCGGTAGAAAAGGAGACGATGCTTGGGGGAGTTGTGCGAACGATTTTTGCCGCCAGTTCGGATTTTAGTGTTATGTAGGCCCTGGGATTACTGCAGATGAACATGACGGCAGCGCGGATTGCTGTTGCAGTTGAGTCGGAACCTGCTAACCTATTTTGGTGTCATTATTATGACCGGCTGGGGGGGCCGCGTGGGGAAGTAGGGTACAAGATAAGAGTAGAGTCAACCATAGCTTCCTTCTCTGTCATTCCTTGTTCGTAGAACCTCTGCAACATATCCCGTCTCTCACCAACTCCACCTTTCGCCCAGCGTTCACGGACTAGCTCAGTTGCAGCCTTGGTCAAGTTACCGTATCCCGTCTTGTCATTGATGATGGGTGTGGCGAATTTGCGAACCCATCCCAGAGCCATGAACTTGACCAATTCTTCAAAGTAGCTCAGTATGACAATTATTGGGAGGGCCTGTTGGAGCGAGGCAATGTATTGTTTGTGGTCGCCGCGCGTGGCAATGAATCCGAAAGCTTTTCCAAACGCTAGCTCGGATATCACATCGTAAGTGAGAAACTGTGCCCAGCAAGCAAAATCACAAGACTTGAAGGAAGTCTCTGTAGCCGTGAATTCGGTGGATAGGGCGGATATCCAGGCGGATACCAAAGCATCGACATATGACTCCATCTGAAGTACGGAGGAGTTAGAGTACTATTGTCGCCACAAAACCGCCAATTAGTCCTTCGTATTCACTATTTATACAAATTGAAAATTCATGAGGAGGGCTAGTACTGCGGGGCCAACTCGTCTCCTGAGCGCTGCATGCTTTTCCGCAGATCGCTCACTGAAGGTACTACCCTGTCCAGGTTCCGGGTCGGCCATCATGTAAAGATCGCTCTTGCGATACTTTGACCCGACACCATAAATCTCGGGGATCAGCGCTGGGTCCGAAAAGTAAACCTTGTTCGGCCCGACCCGCACAACGCGGCCTTTAATTCCATGGCATTAGTTAGCCAATGCATAAGCAAACTGAATCAAATCTCCAGGGGAAAGCCAAAAAGGGGGGCCTAGGAAGCCCCACGTGGTAAGCGGGAGAGAGGAAGAACTAGAAGACACAAACGAGAGAGCAGAAGTCTCGAGTCGCGGGCCAAGAGCTTCTCTTATCTCATTCTTTGTAAAGCTCTGAATTGCGATGCTGTCCACCGCCAAGGTATGATACAGTAGAATATTTATCTACTTGTAGTAGTATCAACTGGATACTTGATAAACTCATACATAAAAGATAAAAAGTGTGGAGCGCCAAACGTACCGTACTTCCGATGCGCGTCTAATATCCCCCCATGAAGATTCCCGCGAGCAACCAATCCTACATTCAACCATAGTCTGGTAAAGCTCGCAAGGGCCGGACCAGGCACCTTCTTGAGCGGACTCGCATACCGTGAGTAGACATAGCTTGCCACGAGGGCTAGCAGCGTGAGAGGTAGCACCTGAGTGAACGCTGATAGAAACAATAATTTGAGAAACATTAGTATAGTGAGTATACTTAGAAAGGTTTGTTGACTTTTTTGGACTGTTTAATTGGGTACTTATGGCCTGGATCTGGGAACTAAGTTCGTGCAGGAGCGCGGGGACGAGGGGGAAGTGGTTAGGCAAGGGTAGTTGGGGGGATATAGTAGAGAGGGGAGGTGGGGGTAGGAGGAGGGGCTCGGAGAAATAGAAGCAGTAAGAGGGAAATGAAGGATGTGGCCCAATACAGATGGATTTGGGAATACCTTTATGCGTACTCAATTTTAAACACCCTACCTAGAAATTGGGCGCACACGGCAGATGAGGTGGGTCTTGTGCTGTATGATACATATGAGTGTCTTACTTTTTCCAGTATTGACCACAGACTCCCGCAGGACGCCCCCTCTTTTTCATGACAAGAGGCGGCAATTCGGTCTGGCTCAGATCCTCGTATAATATACCGGTAGTGCGTTACCCTTTCTGCTCTCATCTCTTTTGGAGGTGGTGGGGGAGGGGTGCGCAGCGGTAAAGGTGGTGGAGTGAATTGGGGTCTCAACTGTTCGATAGTGGTCACTATTGCTACGGCATAAATAGCCAATTGTCTCGAGTACCGTAACCATTGGGAAATCGTAGGGGAATCTCGGATGACACGCTAATATTGTGGGGAATACATGTATGAATCCGATCCCATCCCCATCCGCTTCATCCCAAGCCCCGTTCCCTCCCCATCCATTCATCCACCAACCAATCCCACCCCCCTTCTAATTTGGCACCCGAGGCGGCTTGCGGAAAACACGACCCACAGTTGGGGGGAAGCTAACCAACTAGCCGCCTTGGCTATCTGTGGGCGATAAAGGTCTGCTGCTCCTGCGATCCTGAACTAGATCCTTGAAGTCTGGAGTGCAGTAGAGCTGGTGAGTGCAATAGGGGGTCTCACGTCAACCGGTTTTGATCGTTTTAGTCGGTTTTGTGGTTTACCGTAAACGCAAAAATGGTCAGAACTGTGGAAACTGCAAACCGAGGAAAAAGACGGTTTCCAGGTTTCGTTTTCAGTTTTGGGGGTAATATGCGGAGACTAGTGGTTTGCCTAGAAAACTAGTGATTGAAATCTATACTCTTGGAGTATTAGCGCACTTGGCAGCAAGTGTGGTGATGGCATGCAAAAATCAGATTCGGGAATCTCAAGCTCACAGAAAGAACTGGGAGTTGGATAACGATCATGTTTGCCGATATTCGAAGCCGGATGCTGCGCAAGATTATGGTTCTCAAAATGCTTGACGATTTGGATGCTTCTGCCGATACCGATACAAGCGATACGGATACGAGTAGTGACAGCAGCTCTTCCAGCGAAGACTCAGATAACTCGGATGGAGAACTACAAGATACCTCTACCTTTCGGCTGGTTTGGATACTATTAACACAACGTTATCTTCGAAAACGTGTCGAGCTTCCGAAGTCCTCTGCGTTAATCGATAATTGTTTGAACTTCTATCTGCCTCACCGTCCTGATCTCTTCCGGCAGCAGGCACGAATGTCACCTATTTCCTTTACCTCTCTTGTCTCAACCCTACGGCCATCGCCTTGTTTTAATACCCATTCTCATATTCCCCAAATACCACTTGAAAAACAGCTTTTAATTACCTTAAAACGGCTCGGAAGCTATGGAAATGCAGCATCACTAGCAAATTTGGCTCAGTGGGGTGGTGTTGGAGAAGGGACAGTAGATAAGATAACCCGATGAGTATTCAAGGCTGTTCTTGAGAGTGGATTACGGGAAAGGCATGTGTTTTGGCCTCTACCAGATTCTAGCAGGAGAGAAAAAGCAAAAGAGATGGTGGCAGAAAAGGTGATAAAAGAATGGAGAGGTGGGTGGTGTATGATTGATGGTACATTAATACCATTATATTCAAAGCCACATTACTTTGGAGAGAGGTTTTTTGATCGGAAGAGTAACTACTCCGTCAATATCCAGGTATTTATTAAATATCTTTCTATCTTAGAATTCTTTTATTAAAAACATGAATCTAACCATATGTTGTAGGTGATCAACACACCAGATTTGCGGATCATCGACTATTCCATTGGCTTTGTTGGGAGCACACCAGATGCTAGTGCTTGGGTTGATACACGACTTGCTAGAGACCATAAATCATTTCTTAAAGCTGATGAATGGTGCTGGGCTGATTCAGGTTATCCGATTGAGCCATGGGTGATTACACCTTACATGATGCCGGCAAGTAATGACCCCGACAACAAGACTTTCAACTACTACTTTTCAAGTATTCGAGTAGCATGTGAGCATGCTATTGGATTCTTGAAGGGACGGTTTCAGTCTTTACGAGAACTAAGGCTAGCAATACGGTGTAAGGAAGATCTTGAAATGCTTGCAATTTGGATACATGTATGTATTATATTACACTCATATGCTATTGATTTGGAAGATAATATGGATGTATATCAGGATGAGTTTTTAATTAGTGGAATGTATGATGAGTATGATGGAGGAGTGGAAGAGGTAGGAGGGTCAGAGGATATAGATGTTAATGCTGGGAATACAAGCTTGGAGCTGGACTTGGGGCCGGGTTTAGGTTCGAGAACGAGATCAGAACGGGATATCAACATGCAGCAGGGGCGTGAATTTCGTGAAAAGTTAAAGTCAGAGCTTATCTCATCTCTTATAACTTGTTTGTAAAATGTACTTTAACAAGAAAGTACTACTAACAAGTAGTACATAATATTATACATTCTACTCATTCGAATTATTGCTAATAAAACCCTTCTCCAAACGTACTAACTCAATCCTCTTTTCCATCATCCGCTCCTCATGGGCCATTTCCATTCTCCTTAACTCTACTTCTCTCTGAAAAGTTCGATCCAACCTTTCTTGCTCTAACTCATCCCTCCTTCTCTTTCTTTCATTTTTTGCCATATTAGCTGTAAGCCATGCTTCCGCCAGCTCATTATCCCTCCCTCCCTTCATGTGTTGAGTATGACTTGGCAATGTTCGTTTCAAACTAGTAGCACTACTACTTCCCATATGCACTTGCTTTGCTTTTGAAGCTTTTGAAGATTCCTCGCCTAATTGTAGATCTAAGTTAGAATCAGTTCATATAGTTATGGAATGAGAATAATTAAAAACATCCTCCAGAGAGAGATATCATGGGAGGGAATATACCTGAAGATGGAACCGTAAGATCTGAGGCACGAAATGGAGACGGAGTCCTCAGAGGCGGCGTCACTGGTGCCACAGTTGAATGGTCAAGACTTCTGATATAGAGATCATTGTCCGAATGGATTTGCTCCAAGTTTGCCGAAAACCCCCTCCGAGTCTCCCTATGCTCTTGAATCTCTAAGTCTCTTTCCTTATCCTGATTCTCACTCTCAGAACCAGTACCTACTGCTGCGGTAGCTGCAGGCGCAAGCTCTCTGCTACTTCTTTTTGCTTCCTCTACCTCCACATCTGTACCTTTTGCGGGGATGTCATTAGATTTTTGATATTGACGTCCCTGGTCCAGTACTACGGTACTGACTTGCGTTCGGCTATTCGCTCGTGTATGCTCTCCAATATTGGTCCGTTCTCCAAGGAGGTCTCGAAGGTGATAAAAGTACGGACATTTTTGTTTAACTTGGTCTAATAAGAATAGTCTCTAGTATTAGCTATTATGTAGAAGTTTTCACCGTTTAGAGTAAGTTATATCATACCCCACAAATTCTGTAACTTGGTACTTGCCGTACTGTCAATATCATCTGCATTTCGAAGTCCGGCACCCGTTTGTCCCAACTCTTTTTTTTTTCCGCATAAAGCTTTGCGAGCCTGCTTCATCACTTTTCTTAGATACAATAGTTGGGAATTGCCAGTAATTTTATCTTCTGAGAAAGAATTTTACTGACCTTGCTAACTTCTGTTTTACAGACTCTCCGTACCTTGTAGGATCTGCCTGGACATATTCCGAATATTTAGGCTCTTTGCTCAACAGCTCTTGGGCTAATTCCGTACAAATATGGATTTTCTTTTTTCCCACTGTCTTATCACCAGGCCGAGACCAAATTCCTGCTCGATACCTATCCTTTTGCTCCATTAATTCAATCAGAGCCCAAGTTAGTGCCTGATTATTACCCTCCCAATCGACACTCGGCCACTGGGCAATCTTTGCCTTTGTGGATTTTCGGGACTTCGGGCCTGTTTGATCGAGGTTCATGGTAGGTAATCTTTGTCGGACAGAATAATATAATTTGAAAATAGGATAGAATATGCTGAGGGGTCAATTGGATATGTGTAGAATCGATATAGTTGTCGATCTTGTATACTTATTATCTGTTCTGCTATTTGTGAATTTGTATGACCTACTTACCTTAGCTTGGAAAATTTTCTCATCCTTGCTAGCCTCTTATTGCATGGTACTACAATTAGGACTACCATGGCTGTACCCAAATACAACATCCCAAATTCCTCGGAGAAATGAAAGAAACGCTAGTTCAGGCTCACGGTAAACCGTTAAACTGTGGGTTCAGTTCCAGTTTCGTTTTTGGACGTGAGACCCCCTAATACAGGTATGATTCCAGCAACCTGGTGGTCAAAGTTCGCGACCCGGATCCTCTCAACTTCGGTTAATCCTAGCGGCGCCGTGCGCGGATTGTTCTCATTGCTTCCAATTCGAGAACACATCACAGGTTGTATTTTATTCCACAGAGGTGGAGCTTCCTGGAAGGTCTTACAAAGTTAAAGCACAATTTGGTTGGGCTTCAGCGGTAGGACTTGTGTGGAAAAACGGAAATGTTTGATAGATTGAACTCGCCGAATGTCCAAATACTCGTACAGTGTACGACCCGCCTAAACAGTGTAAAGTACCGTAAACCCTTTTGCGATTCACTATCTCCGTTAGTCCGGATTTGGTTTAGTTTAGCAGGTGAATAAGATTTCCTATCATATACAAGTCCCAGGGGAGATGTTTTCGTACAAGACAGGAAGTATTTGGTGGCTTAACCTTAATTAACTGTGAGAAAACATTATCCCTAGCAC